CTGTCTGGACGGTCCCAAAGAGCGGTGCTCAATGGAATTAAATCCAGTTGACGGCCGGTCACAAGTGGTGTTCCCCAGGGCTCAATGTTGGGACCATTTCTGTTTAACATCTTCATTGATGATCTTGATAAGGACATAGGGTGTATCATCAGCAAGTTTGCAGATGACACCAAGTTAAGCGGGAGTGTTGATCTGCATGAGGATAGGGAGGCTTTACAGAGAGACTTAGATTGGATCGATGGGCCAACATTTATGGTGTGAGCTTCAACTGTACTTGGGCCACAACAACCCCATGCATCGGCACAGGCTTGGGGAAGTGTGGCTGGAAAGCTGCCTGGCAGAAAAGGACTTGGGGGTTCTAATTGCCAGCGGCTGAACATGAGCCGGCAGTGTGCCCAGGTGGCCGAGAAAGCCAATGGCATCCTGGCTTGTATTAGAAATAGTGTGACCAGCAGATGTAGGGAGGTGATTGTGCCCCTGTCCTCAGCACTGCTGAGGTCACACCTCGAGTGTTGTGTCCAGTTTTGGGCACCTCAATACAAGAGAGATATCGAGGTGCTGGAGTGAGTGCAGAGGAGGGCAACGAAGCTGGTGAAGGGCCTGGAGAATAAATCGTACAAAGAGCGATTGAAGGAGCTGGGACTGTTTAGAGGAACAGGAGACTGAGGGGTGACATCATCACTCTCTAAAACTACTTGAAAGGATATTTTAGAGAGGTTGGTGCTGGTCTCTTTTCCCAGGTAATTAGCGATCGAACAAGAGGGAAAGGCTTCAAGCTACAACAGTAGGTTTAGACTGAACATTAGGAAAAAGTTTTTCACAGAAAGAGTAGTCAGGCATTGGAATAGGCTGCCCAGGGAGGTGGTTGAGTCACCATCCTTGGATGTGTTTAAGAGTCATTTAGATGTGGTGTTGGGGGATATGGTGTAGAGGAGAACTTTGTAGAGTAGGGTAGAAGGTTGGACTCGATGATCCCAAGGGCCTTTTCCAACCTAAATGATTCTATGCTTTCATGAATGCTTTTTCATACATCTAATAAAAGCAGCCCCATAGATGAAATTTGTTAAGTAGTGATATTGGAAATATGGAACTGCAACACTTTGGGTTTTTTCTGAAGCCCCCAAAAGCTGTCCCATGGTGGTTCAAATATCTGCATAGTGAATTTATGCATATTGACAACATGCTGCTTTCCTTACTTTCCTTTCCTCAGAGCCTGCACAAGGGACTGTAGGTCCCACATGGCTACCAGTCCCAATTAATTAAATCACCACTGACCATCTTTCAATAGCATTTGTGAAATTAAAATTTTGTAATAGCAGCCACTGATTTTTGTTCTTAATTTCTTAACAGACCTACGTATATGAAGGAGTTGAAGCCAAGAGAATCTTCAAGAGGGGCTGAGTACTTTACCCAGAACCACACCAGAATCAAAAATCAATGAAAAAAGACCATTTTCCCACATATGCTCTGCTTTTTTTTTTGCCTTTTATCCCCTCACAGCATATCCTAAGCTGCAAATACTTAGCTGTGTTGAAAGCATGGGCTAGTTTCTTATGTTTACTGCTTTGTCTCAAATAAAAAAAAAAAAATCCAATTACAATTTGATACAAAAGCTAAAATGTTATTTGTACCAAGTCCTACCTGAATGCGACACTGTAAAAGGCTCTAGAAACTATTTTCCATAAGCAGAGCTTAAATATCTTTTTATACTCGTTCTCAATGCAACTTAGTTTTCTTACAATAACAGCTTCTCTGTGTACTGAATATTGTGTAATAAGGATGGCAAAACCTAAAATAAACCTGACAACGCTCAAGTCGCTGAGATTATTCTACGTAAATATAAATATGGAATAAACATAAAATATGGTGTCATAATACAGCTCACTTGGAGGACTTATCTAAGATCCCATTGATATCTTCCTCATATCAATAGGAGTAATATAAAGCATATAGTGATGGTATGCAGGTATCTCACATACAGAAATTTCATTGCATTTGTTTCATTAAAAGCATGACCATGCTTTTAAACTTGCAGATTTTGAGTTGTTCCAATTGATTAGGGGTTCAAATCATTCTGTTTCAGGAAGAGTGTTAGCAGGCTCCGAGTGCGTTTCTTTCAGGACATGAATAAAAATATTGAAGTTGTCTTGACAAGACATAAAAGGATTTCAGCCTCTGTCGACTTCAAACACTTGCTTCTGATGGATGACAAATATGCACCCTGTTCTGCTCATGTTGTCCAGTCTGTAAGTTCTGTTTTCAACCCAGCCTCACCTCCCTTGAGTTGCACTGTTTCTTTAGGGTCACAGAACAACTGCCTCTTGAGGCAGCTGTATCTGTAAAGTCTCACAGCACTTTATGAGAGAATTCCCTGCTGATGGTACACAGCAAGATAATCTTCTGCCATGAACTTATTCAGGTGCTGTTACAGGTCCAATTTCAAATATCATTTCTGAGCAGGTACATTTACGTTATGATTTTAACGGGCTTCTAAAGTATCTTGAAAAATTTACTCCCCTGTTTTCTTGACTCTCCTTGACTTTCTTTTTGCTGAATCCTCTTTTAGCCTATATTTTTGTGCTCTTCAGGGTTTCATAGCTCCCTCTACTGCCAAAATGCTCTCATGATGCGAGAATACCTCGCATCATGAGAATACGAATAACAGTATTCGAGTTAGAAGGACAGATCACTCTTCTTTATGAATTTGGATTTCCAACCCCAGATACTGATTGCATGCAACTTCCACTGTAGATATTTTTTACATAATCGTATTTCAGAGGGTAGATATGCTACATAAGGCAATTAAGAGACTACCATTTTAAACAGTCCTTCAATTTTCAATTACAAAGAAATGAAAAACTGAAAAACAAAGCCATGAAAAACTAAAAAAACTCCACAAAGAAAAGGGCCTAAAATCTAGAAAAAACACTATTAAAAAATTAGGCCTATCTCTAGGTTACTTTTTATAGCTAATACAGTCTTTAAAAGAGAGAGGGATGAAGAGTAATGGCTTGCAATAAGCTGTATGACAAATTCTTTAAGCTATGCACACTGAAAAATCAGATTAAACTGTAAGGCAGAAGCCCTAATCATCAAAGTGCTGTCACAGAGTTTGACCTTTGCTATCAGCTGCATATCATTATTGCTTCTAAATTGCACAGAGGGATATTAACAATTACAGGTCAAAGGTTTCAGGACTCTGGAGAAAGCCATTTTATTTTTTTAGAGACTTTACTGGCAGGAATGAAAGCTGTATTAAGTTTCTTGATGTGTTCTTTCTTTCTCCCCTCAGTAGGCTGACCCTTTTGGTTCAGAAAGCCAAACTCTAGCCCACACCTGATATCAATGCACTTACCTCTGCCACACCCAGCCCAGTAACACCCTGATTCATGGCTATTTTGATCTAGGTTACCAGATTCGTTTGATTGATTGGCTACAATAATCGGTAGCTTATGTTTTCTGGTCAAATTTTGAGAAATTCTTTTAGTTAATTCTGGATTACATAAAAGGCCACAAAAAAGAAAAGTAATCCAATACTTATTTAAAAAAAAATAAAAAGAAATTTAAAAAAAATTAAAAATAAAAAGACAGCTCAAAAGTATTTAGCACCTCCAAATACTGCAGACATATGTGGTCAGAACTGTACTTATAAAATAAGGAAAAATCTTTAAAGACTCAGTCTCCAATACTTGAGATAAGATGGAGGAGGGCTTCAGTAAACTAACAAGTAAGATCATTATATTAGAATGTGAATGAGAGAGCCTAGTAAATTCAACTAAGAGACTTTTATTTCCTAGGCAGGAATTTGAAAATTACATTACTTTGCAACCTAATAGGAAATTGCTTTGGGGAAACCTACAATCCACAATTCCTTTTGCTTAAATAAGGTAATATAAATGCTTATAAGACTTAAATGGGAATTATTGACATAATTTCTCTCAAAAATCTCTATTATTCTTCACTTAACACACATATGCTTAACTGATGCTTGTTATATAAAGACAAATTCATGTCCATCGTTATTTCTAAAGACAGAATGTATTAAGGAAAACAGCTACCCCTAAGTGCATGCTCATGAGAAGTTAAACTCTTACCAGATACACCTTCTCTGCATTCTGCAGCAAGTATTGCATTTTCTCTTAATATGAGGCTAAAAAGGGTTAATAGCTCCAATGAGGAAGTTTTTGTTTGGTATACTCCTAAGTTTCTGGTCACTTCTAGAAAGAGTGAAAATAATTGCACTCCTTTCAATACCAAGTGAACTGGCTGGACTGAGAGCAGTACATCCCAACTATGAGTATGGCATCAGATTGTGCAGCTTAATTTAATCTCTTATGCAGCTGTGTGTTGTGTAAATAAAGCACACAGTAGACACTATCTACGTGAACTTTTCTATGTTTGTTAGTGTCTATCAACTAACCTTCAAGGATAGGAGTCTACCTAAAAAACAATTTCTATTTTCCTAAACTTCTTCACAACCACATTTCCCGAAAGAACTTTCAGCTTCTTCCAGGGCACCATCTGCTATCCAATAAACCGCATCAGGAAGAACTCGTGAATGTTTATCTCTGCACAAGTCCCAGTACAGCTTAACAGAACCAGGCCAACCCGGTGTGACAGGACTAGACCAGCAGCTTTTCCCCACGTCCCTGTCTCACCTGGCCAAGCGCCCTGAGGACTGGCTGGGCGCACCAGGAGGAGAAGCAGGGCTCCTTCTACGTCCAACATCTTTACCGCACGGCCTAGCATCGCCCTTAGCCCCTCAGCAGCGAGGGAAAGGGGCCGCTGCGGCGGGAGCCTGCCGGGAGAGCAGCGAAGGAGCAGGCGGCCAAACAATCGGCGCCGTCACCGGGTGGCGCCAGAGGCCGCCTCAGCGCCGCTCGCGCCCCAACGGTCACCAACCGCCGCCCGCGCGCTCCCTGAGGCGGCGGGGGCGGCGCCGCCGGGCGTGGCGACGGTACGTGCGCTCCGCTCTCATTGGCTGTCCACCCGGAAGAGCAGCCGGCGCCTGCGCGGCGGGAGCTGCCGTTGCGGGACCCCTGAGGAGATGGAGGCGGCGGCGCGGCGGGAGCGGCCGGACCAGCAGCGGGGCGCGGCGGCGGATGGCGGCCGGTCGCTGTCGGGACAGTCCTACTGGCTGGACCTGTGGCTCTTCGTCCTCTTCGATCTGGCGCTCTTCGTAGTCATCTACCTGCTGCCCTGAGGGCGCCGGGCCCAGGTCAGCCGCCGCCGAGGCACCGGCTCTGGGGGGGAAAAGGGGCGGCCTCGGGGTGCCCGAGGGAGGGGAGGGAGCTCGTGCCCCCAGCAGCTGGGCGGCCTGTCCTCGCTGGGCTGCCCACGGCAGCCTGGCCTCCAAAGGCCTGGAAAGCACGGAATCACAGAATTGCCGGGGTTGGAAGGGCCCTCTAGAGATCATCTGGCCCAACTCCCCAGTCAAAGCAGGGTTGCCCAGAGCACGTTACTTAGGACTGCATCCAGGCGGGTCTTGAAAATCTCCAGAGAAGGGGACTCCGCGACCTCCCTGGGCAGCCTGTTCCAGGGCTCTGTCACCTCACCCTGAAGTTCTTCCTCACATTTATAGAGTGTTTATGGGTTAGAATCAAGGGGAAGGCCAACAAGGTAGACATCATGGTGGGAGTTTATTACAGTTTATTCCAGCTTGTGCCCATTGCCCCTCATCCTGTCACTAGGAACCACTGAAGAGAGTCTGGCTCCATCATCCCTTCAATAAGGCCAAGTGTTGGGTCCTGCACTTTGGGTCACAACAACCCCAGGCCACACTACAAACTTGGGGCAGAGTGGCTGGAGAGCTGCCTGGCAGAAAAGGACCTGGGGGTGTTGGTCGACTGAACGTGAGCCAGCAGTGTGCCCAGGTGGCCAAGAAGGCCAACAGCATCCTGGCCTGTATCAGGAACAGTGTGGTGAGTAGGGCCCGAGAGGTGATCGTCCCCCTGTACTCGGCACTGGTGAGGCCCCACCTCGAGTACTGTGTCCAGTTTTGGGCCCCTTACCACAAAAAAGACATTGAGGTGCTGGAGTGGGTCCAGAGAAGGGCAACGAAGCTGGTGAGGGGTCTGGAGAGTAAGTCTTATGAGGAGAGGCTGGGGGAGCTGGGGTTGTTTAGTCTGAAGAAGAGGAGGCTGAGGGGGAGGCCTTATTGTGCTCTACAACTACCTGAAGGGGGGTTATACCAAGTTGGGTGTCAGTCTCTTTTGCTAAGTAGCACGTGAGAGGACAAGACAAAATAGCCTCAGGTTGCACCAGGAGAGGTTTAGGTTGGATATTAGGAAAAAATCTTCACTGAAAGGGCTGTCAAGCATTGGAACAGCCTTTCCAGGGAAGTGGTTGAGTCACCATTCCTGGAAGGATTTAAAAGATGTTTCCACGTATTGCTCAGTGATGTGGTTTCGTGGTGGACTTGGCATTGTTAGGTTAATGGTTGTACTCAATGATCTTAATGGTCTTTTCCAACCTAAATGATTCTATGATTCTATGTGTGTTCTAGAATCTTTAAAAGCCCTTTATCATTTTGATCTTTATATTTTCTCAGTTTGAATAGGAAAAAAAACCCCTGTGATAATGTTCTTCTACTGATAAATTGGTGTTGTGCCACTTCCAGAATCAAACAGCTCTGTACTGAAGTTACGCCACTTTAAATAAAACACTGTTAGGTATTATGGGTACATTTTGAAAACTTATAAGAAATAATTTGTGACAATTAGTGACTGCTTAATCGATTCAGTCAAAAATTATTAGCATAGAGAGTCTACATCTTATTTCTGTGTATAAATTGCAGTAGATTGAGATGAAAATGTACTTTCTGCTGATATTTTTTTTTCCTAGAAGCACTACTTTGCATAGACACCAGTAAAATAGCTGCAGCAAAGGTGAGATACCAGAGAGCAAGTTCAACTAATTGTTGAATTCTAGGATCTCTCAGCATAGTCAAGGAGCACAAACACTAGTTAGACAGGCAAAAGAGAAAAAAGTTCACAGTAAAGGTCATATAGTCATCCGTAGAGTGAGCGGTTTTCACTAATCGATCTACAGAAACACTTACATGCATGGCTGCTTTTGACAGATGTTTCAGCACTAAATATCTTTTGCTTAAAATCATACCCAACCACTGAAATGGACTGCAATTATAACCATTGTTCTTAGGTGGAAGAAACAATATCGTCATGAGAAAGGACCCAGAAAAGTCATGTAAACAACACCTTTCTTTTACGTATTTGAAATAAGTAGATACATGCAAACATTTGGTGATTACACTAGTTTATAACGTATTAAGGAAACAAGGGATCCAAAAGAGAAAGGGTTAGCACCCACTATGCTGAAGGGGGGATGCAGAGAGGCGGGGGTTGGTCTCGTCTCCCAAGTTACAGGAGATAGGACAAGGGGAAATGGCCTCAAGTTGCACCAGGGGAGGCTTAGATTGGATATTAGGAAAAATTTCTTCACGGAAATGGTTATCCAGCATTGGAATAGACTGCCCAGGGAAGTGGTTGAGGCACCATCCCTGGAGGTGTTCAAAAGACGGGTTGACGTGGTCCTCAGGAATATGGTTTAGTGGTGTGTTTTTTTGGTGTGTGTGGTGTTTTCGTTTCTTTTTTGTTTTGATTTTGGTTTTTTTTGGTTTTTTTTTTTTGTCAGAGTTAGGTTGATGGTTGGACTAGATGGTCTTTAAGGTCCTTTCCAACCTAGACGATTCTATGATTTAGATACTTGTAAGCATTAATAAAGTCTCCCCTCAGCCTTCTCTTCTCCAGGCTAGAGTCTCAGCTCTCTCAGCCTTTCCTCGTAAGGGAGGTGCTCCAATCCCTTAATCATTTTATTTGCCCTACGTTGGACTCTCTCCGGTAGTTCCCTGTCTCTCTTGAACTGGGGAGCCCAGAACTAGATGCAGTGTTCTAGTTGTGGCCTCACCAGTGCAGAGTAGAGTGGGAGAATGATATCCCTTGACCTACTGGTCACACTCTTCTCTATGCAGCCCAGGATTCCATTGGCCCTCTTGGCAACAAGGGCACATTGCTGGCTTATGGATAGTTTACTATCCACCAGGACCCCCAGATCCTTTTCACGGATACCTCTGAAAAAAATATAAAGCTAATTCCAAAGAACCAGCAGTTTGGGGTTTTTGTCAAAAAAAAAAAAAAGTTATTGGGATTAGAAAGTCTGCTTGATGATGCATGGAGCAGGTCATCTTGAGTGCCATCACAAGCCATATAATGGGCAACCAGAGGATCAGGCCTAGTCAGCATGGGTTTATGAAAGGCAGGTCCTGCCAGACGAACCTGATCTCCTTCTATGACAAGATGACCCGATTATTGGATGAGGGAAAGGCTGTGGATATTATCTACCTGGACTTTCAAAAAGCATTTGACACTGTTCTCCATAGAATTCTAGTGGAAAAACTAGCTGCACGTGGCCTGGATGAGCATACGATCTGCTGGATCAAGCACTGGCTGTCTGGACGGTCCCAAAGAGCGGTGCTCAATGGAATTAAATCCAGTTGACGGCCGGTCACAAGTGGTGTTCCCCAGGGCTCAATGTTGGGACCATTTCTGTTTAACATCTTCATTGATGATCTTGATAAGGACATAGGGTGTATCATCAGCAAGTTTGCAGATGACACCAAGTTAAGCGGGAGTGTTGATCTGCATGAGGATAGGGAGGCTTTACAGAGAGACTTAGATTGGATCGATGGGCCAACATTTATGGTGTGAGCTTCAACTGTACTTGGGCCACAACAACCCCATGCATCGGCACAGGCTTGGGGAAGTGTGGCTGGAAAGCTGCCTGGCAGAAAAGGACTTGGGGGTTCTAATTGCCAGCGGCTGAACATGAGCCGGCAGTGTGCCCAGGTGGCCGAGAAAGCCAATGGCATCCTGGCTTGTATTAGAAATAGTGTGACCAGCAGATGTAGGGAGGTGATTGTGCCCCTGTCCTCAGCACTGCTGAGGTCACACCTCGAGTGTTGTGTCCAGTTTTGGGCACCTCAATACAAGAGAGATATCGAGGTGCTGGAGTGAGTGCAGAGGAGGGCAACGAAGCTGGTGAAGGGCCTGGAGAATAAATCGTACAAAGAGCGATTGAAGGAGCTGGGACTGTTTAGAGGAACAGGAGACTGAGGGGTGACATCATCACTCTCTAAAACTACTTGAAAGGATATTTTAGAGAGGTTGGTGCTGGTCTCTTTTCCCAGGTAATTAGCGATCGAACAAGAGGGAAAGGCTTCAAGCTACAACAGTAGGTTTAGACTGAACATTAGGAAAAAGTTTTTCACAGAAAGAGTAGTCAGGCATTGGAATAGGCTGCCCAGGGAGGTGGTTGAGTCACCATCCTTGGATGTGTTTAAGAGTCATTTAGATGTGGTGTTGGGGGATATGGTGTAGAGGAGAACTTTGTAGAGTAGGGTAGAAGGTTGGACTCGATGATCCCAAGGGCCTTTTCCAACCTAAATGATTCTATGCTTTCATTTTTTTTTACTGTGCCCTCCAAAGGCCTGTGTAGCGCTGCAAAGGTAACCAGACTCTCTGTTCCCTGCAGAGCCACTATCTCATCACAGAATGCACCTTAAGGAAACAGGCAGTGGAAGAGGAGGGCCATTTGCGCAGCGTGGGCAACTGGGAACGCCATTCCACCTACCACTGAATGCAAGAGGCATATATCTACATTATGTCATAATATATCTCTCTCTGTATCACAAGTGTTACTGTTCAGGATTTTGCCTGTGTCCTGTTTCTGTGTTCTAAACTGTGCCTTAGAGGTCATGTAAGACAGCTTGACTGTGCTTTTCTAATTAGTGCCTAAAGGTTTCTTAGGGATAAATGAAACTATTGTTTGAATAAAGTCAACTGAAAGGACAGACTGTAAAGTGGCTGAGAATAAAATCCAGCTCTTATGTAGACCACAGTTGTAACTCAGACCTTTTCCCTCAGTAGATGAAGTCTATTCAGCTGGTTTACTTTCAAAAAGTTAATCATGAGGGTCTGATGCTGTTCCATTTTCTCTTATATGTTTCTCTCTTTATATTACAGTATATATGACATACCACATACTATATGAGATTCTAGCTTCAGCAGTTCCTGTGATTTCTGCAACATTCCAGTGTTTAGGAGCAGGAGCAGCCAACAGTCCTCGCTTACTGATTTAGATAAAACAGGCTCTGATTTCCTTAGCTACACAGAGTGACCAAGAGCAGCCTTCTTGAGCAGCTGGCAGGTTACATGTACTGTCTTGCATACACTTTCCATGGATGACTAAGTAGACAGTAATAAGTAAGTAATAGGTTTCAACTTCCGCATGCCACATCAAAATTTCCTGTCTCACTACAGGGAGATTTTCAAAGTGTTAAATGTTGCGTTCTCAGGATAAAGAAAATGAAGCCAAGAACATGGAGTAGGCTTTTTATGCGTTTGGGTTTGGGGGACAACAGCCTTCAACTATGAAGGGGGTTTAGTTTTCTTGACTATTTTTCACTTAGGAATACTAGTTTCTAATTCTGAGAAATACAATTCATGGCTATTGGGATTTTTCAGGAATAAACACAGTAAAATAACTATATTTCAGAGACTGAAGTGTAGAGTGTTTCAGTGTCTTTACACATTAAATGAAAACAGACTACTACCAGGGTAAAGAGGATTCAGGATGCAAAAGTAAGCATATGCTCTCTTTCCCTTTATTTGTCTTTCATTGTGAAAGACAGTTCTTCCATTGACAGTGGCTTTCTTAATTTATCAGACCTATGCGTTAGGAACTGGGATGCCTTTACCTGCTAGCATTTACGATTTTGGCTGCTGGTACCTACAAAATAAGTCACCAGTTTCAGAGCTCAACTTTGACTGCATTCTCAAAAATAGAAAAATAGGTTTTCCAGTTTTTAAAATGAAGCTATTAAAGACAAGTCCACTACCCTTCCCCACCCCTTCCCCCCACATGATTTTACCAGGGAAATCTCAAGTGAACAACTTATGAGAGAAGCACTGTAATATTGTTCCATTTCTCTTTTGGTAATAAAGAATAAGTCTTAATAGCTTTTAGAAAGTTAACAGAAATTTCAGTGTGTCTTCTAGTAATTTAGTTTTCTCTTTCAGCCACATCTGACATACAAGGTTTTACTTATGTCAGAAAACTTAAAGCTAACAAAGTGCAGGCGTGTGATACATTGTACTCCAGGCTATTTCATACGCTCCTGGAGCACATGAATATATATATCAAGGCAACTTTCACCTATCCCTAATAGAGCAAAAGTAGTACAGCAGCAAGACAACTCATGTAACCAATCAATCAGTTGCCACCAAGTCTGTGGGATTATGGTATTAAAATTGCTTTATGCATTTCATAAGTATTTAGAAAGCTAAACAGATTTAACCACCTTAAATTCATCTTCTGAAGAATTTGTTTATTACTATTCATAAATGGTAACTGAACCACCTTCTCTGCAAAACTTTCAACCATTCATAGAAGTATTACCTGTCACTGTTTTAAAATGCAGTTCTGGAAAGCCAGGCTGGTTTTGGTTTGGTTTTTTTTTTTAAATATGGAATACAAAAAGAACAGAAGACAAAGATATTTTAAATATTTATCTGATAGTTTGAACAAGCAGAACTTTGCAAGAAAATAATTCTAAAGACTGAAAAATATATTAATTACAAGACTTGTTAATGTCTTTACTGTTACAAAAATTGTCTAGGCTCTTATACAAATCTATAGCCAGGAGGAGACATTTATAAAAAAATAAATAGGCACCCTAGGTAAGTTAAAACAAGTTATCACATATTAGTTAGCAAATATTACGTACATACATACATGGAGTGCAGAGTCAAATATAAAAACAAGGTGCCTCGATTAGCTGTCTATTTACTATCATTAAATACCTGGTAAACATGGGTCACATAGAAACTTGTCTGGTAAGATTGTTTCAAGCAAAGCAAGGAGACTGAAGTACATCTAAATTTCTGAAGCTACTTTAAAAATAAATTTACTAGTTGTGCTTACTGGAAGCCAAATTCATTGGTATCAGTATTAGGCATTCATATTGCTCATTGTACAGAAGTATGAACATTGCTATGCATGTTTAAAAATAAGTGTTCTAACATCATTCACAGTTGTTGCTGTGCTATTCATACATAAAAATACTGTCATTTCAAATACAAGATTTTTGCAAAACATTTTACAAATTATACATTATTTACAAATTCCAATAATCTTTGTTTTTACACAAGTATTAGAAGACAGTTTTACTTAACTGCCTACGTATATTATGTAACATTGCTAGATGAACTAGAAACATTTAATTTACAGGTTCTGAAATCTCTCTCAAAAATATTACAATTAGGAATCATTCAAGTTCTTACATTTTCAGGGTTCTTTTTCTGTGTTCAACTGATTTTCTTACAAAAGGATACTTTTTTTAAGTTGCTGTTTACCAGCAGCCATACCTAAACATGCATAATTATTTGCATTACAAATTCTAGAATTCATTATTTCCCCAAGTGCTACAACAAATTTTGATCAAGAAGGTAGGAATAAGAAGACTAATCTGAGATACCTGGTTTGTTGCATATATCACGTTCCAGTTCTACTGTAAGTTACATGTAGTCTAGAAAAAAAACTGAAAAACTGACCTTGACACAGAATAACCAGAACTACTATTTAAATGTATATCTTGGGTAATCACACTAAACAATTGCCAACATTTGGTTGAAGCACTAAAATTCACATAAGGTTTATAAACATAAAAAAGCCTTTCTGACTAACAGTGCAAGTACAAGCAGGAGTGTTTATTATGCATACTTAGCCTTCTTGCATTATTTTTGTAACTAAAAGGCATTGATGTTTAGATGTAATCAGCAGCATCCCAAGTTAACACTCTAACAGGAATAATGGCAAAATTTAGCCTTTTCAGATGGCGTCAGGCTTTGCTGACATTAATTTTCAATTATACATTGTTCAACATTAGGATAAGATGAAAACAGATCTCTAAGCCCCTGCCTCTGACACCACAAGACACAGCGGGTCATTTTAAATACTCAGGGCTGCCGTGGGGGCAAAAATCCTCCTTTCCTCCCCAGCCCTCAATGGGCCACGTGCTGGGCCTCAGCACTTGCTAGATAGTTCCATGCACCGATTTAACTAACCAAATAAAGCCAAATAAATCCTCCCCTTTCTTAATGAAAAAAGTCAGGTTAACAAAACGTGGTAAATGTCAGAGCTGCCAAAATTGCAGAGCAGAGAAAGAGAGGAATGTCTTCTCCTCATGCCCTCAGCCGCCGCGGTCTGCCTGACCTGCTAATACAGAACCTGTGTAGCCCTGTGTAGGACTGTTCTGAATAGGAAAAAATGTCAGTAAAATCAAATGTGTGATCCTCGATTAAACATTGCTCAAAATATCAAGCTGAAAAAAAGATAGGAAGTTCAATAAATAGCAGCATTGACTTGGCATGCGATTGTAGAATAAATCAGAACTGAACATAAGTAGTAAATTTATCTAAAACCTTAAAAAATTAATCTTTGATACTTGCATGATAACCCTGTATTTTAAAATTAGCATCCTATTCTGCTATATCAGTTTGTATCTTATGTGGTTACATTTCATTTTAATAAGTTAAAATATAGCTTATAGAGTGAACAAATGGATAAATGTGTTTAAAAATATACACTAACCTAGAGCAGGTATATTAAGAGGGCAGTCTATTACTGCACTTTACTTGGATTCCCTTTGAAAATCTTAGTTAACACTTGCGAACAAGAACCATTTTTAAAGAATTATTAAGGCTTTTCAAATAAAAAGTTAGAAATTCTCTGGGTAAACTTTTATTAAAGACACTTGAAGGTTTGTCAAAGCACAGATTCTCAGAGAAGTCAGTTGAAAAAAACCTAAAACACCATGTCACCTCCTCCTCCTACCTACCAGGACAAATACTGCTCTATTATAACTGTATTTACTGCATTATATATGGTAATATGTTTATCCCTTTTGTTAGTGTAAGCATGTAGTGACCCCAGCCTGAAGGAACACTTTTAAAACTGCAACTAATTACATCTTCTTACAAAATTAGTAACAGCTAGTTGATTCCATTCCTGTAAGATGCATACACCCAAAGGGACCATTTTTAATATAAACTGTAGAAGACCAGCTGAGTAACAGTGGTAAGCATTAAGGCAACTAGAGTAACAAATCAAAGAACCAGAAGTTTAGCACCTCTTCTCCTCCACTCACCTCTATTTGCATATTCATTTAAACAGTCGTAACTCCTAAGCAAAGTACAGTCAACTGGGTACCTAGTTATCACACAGACAGAGATTCAAGGTTTGTGCCCATTCACAGACGACATGAAATGCTAGAGTCAGATTCTTAAAATAAATCTGGATCTATCTGCTGCAGTGTATGCCTTCTACATTGGCCTTGTACCTTTGCTCGGACGTGGGATGCCTGGGCTCAATAGTAGCATGGCACGTAGCATTCAGTTCTACTCCAGCTGATGCAGGATGCTTTTCTTTGTGAAAGCTTCCACTGTCTGTAAAATACAGCTTGGGTCTCTGATGATATTTCATCCTGTACGTGTCAGTCATGCAGCTATCCACCGAAAAATAAGTTGTTAGGGATACACTGTCATGTCCATCCACATAGCCAGCACTTGGTCCCATATGACGAGATCCTTTCTTTAAGAAGTTTTCAGACACAGTCCCAAAGTCATTAACTGATAAACGAGGTGGAGAATCCGGTTTATGAACGAACAGTTCATTCCCTTGAAATGGCTCTTTAAGCCTTTGTTCATTTGTAAATACGCTTGCTTCTGATCCAGATTTTAAAGGTGTACCTGTTTGCCTTAACGGATTATTTTGCAACACTTCTACTGATTTTACATCAGCTGCCGAGTTATTTTCGGATCCTGGCAAAGTATAC